TGAAAGAGCCAGCTTTATTTTGCCGACCAGGTTACACCACAGCAGATGCCAAAAGCTCACCACAGGCATTCTCCACCTGCTTATCATCTTCAAAATAGCATGACTTTAAATTGGCCTGAGTTTTTAACCGTTAGTCTCAACTAAAATGGATTTCACTGAATCCTAGCCTGATTATCTTATGTGATAAATCACAATTAAAAACATTAATCCATTTTCAAAATACAACAGTATTAATTCATATCAGAATTATTTACTGACTCTCTTCTTCTGTAATACTTCTGAGAAGCGAAGCTACAATATAACTTTCTAAAAATAAGTGGACTTGTAATAGAGTCTTCTGGTTTGAATAACAGGGTTGGCAATCATTTCTCAGCCTGCAGCTATTGCTGGAAAAAAATTTGATTGGTATTTACTGGATGAGGGGTGGCTGGTAATAACTGATATTTTGAGTATGTCTACTGCCTGTGGTTTTCCTGCCAGCCTATCACAATCCACCATGTGTGCGTCCATCGTTTTGTTCTTACAGCTGCAAGATGAATTCTGGGAATTTTCTTGAGATCCTACCAAACAGCTGATATAGTGTCCCCAGAAGATTGGTGAAAATCTCAGGTGACACTTGGGATGGAATCTAATAGGGATCTGAGAAATGTGGGCTATGGTGTGAGTAAGAACTGCCGCTGCTGGAGTCAGAGATAACACAGTGTGGAGCTCGAGGAACACAGCAGGCCAGGCAGCATCAGAGGAGCAGGAAAGTTGACATTTCGGGTTGGGACCCTTCTTCAGAAATGGGAGAGGGGAAAGGGAGCTCAAAAATAAATAGAGAGGGGAGGGTTAGAGCTGGGGAAGGCAGTTGGGATGGTGATAGGTGAGTGCAGGTAGGCAGTGGTGGGGATTGGGCAGTGAGGTGGGAGGGACAGATAGGTGGGAGAGAAGATGGACGAGTTGAGTCAGGTCAAGGAGGCGGGGATGAGAGAGAGGATTGGTCAGGGATGAGGCCGGGGCTGGAGAGATTTTAAAACCGGTAAAGTCCACATTTAGGCCATCAGGCTGTAGGCTCCTGAGACGGAATATGAGGTGCTGCTCTTCCAGTTTTCGGGTGGCATCATTGAGACACTGGAGGAGGCCCAAGATGGACATATCGCCCAGGGAGTGGGAGGGGGAGTTGAAATGTTTTGCGACCGGAAGGTGGTGTCATTTGTCACAAACAGAGCACAGATGCTTTACAAAGCAGTCTCCGAGCCTCTGCTTGGTCTCACCGATGTAGAGGAGGCCACATCGGGAGCAGCGGATACAATAGATCACATTGACGGATGTGCTGGTGAACCTCTGTCTGATGTGAAAGGTTCAATTAGTGCCTTGAATGGACGTGAGGGGGAAGGTGTAGGGACAGGTGTAGCACTTCCTGCGGTTGCAGGGAAAGGTGCCGGGGGTGGTGGGGCTGGTGGGGAGAGTGGAGCAGACGAGAGAGTCGCAGAGAGACTGGCCCCTACAAAAGGCAAATTGGGGGGGGGGAGGGAAATATATCTTTGGTTGTGGGGTCAGATTGTAGGCGGCGGAAGTGGCGGAGAGTGATACATTGGATGGTGAAATGTCCAGCAGAATCAGGCTGACAAGTCCAGTGAGGCCTGTCTTGACACCAGGAGCCCGACTATCTTTTATGCTTTTCACAAGAGGCGTGCTAAGATTCTCACTTGGCAGCAGCATGATGCTAATTGATGGGGATTGACATTGTTAAATGCCTTGTTAATGGCACAACCTACCTCATTAATAATCAGTCTCTCATCTTATCAAATTGTCCAAACAAGCCAGACATTGGGAACACTCGATAATGAAACCAGAGAGAGCACCTGGCAATTCAGCTCACCACTTGCTCCAAACAACTTCCATGTTGGAAATCTGGTATCAACATTGTTGGGCTCCATGACACCAGCCACAAGTCTGAACTTGTGGCATCCACTGCTGGCCCTGGGGGAAGAGGAAGCTCTGCTTGTTTAGCAGGATCTCTGGGAACCTAGCCACAAAGTAGGGAGGTGATCTCTCATCTGCCACCTCTGGGGCAAATCTCAACAACCATGCTGAGCACTTCCAGCCTAACAGTTCTTGTCTGGTTGCTCAATGGGTTTTAAAGATGGTAATGGGCATAAGAGATGCCAGTGTATTCCAGGATGTCTGCTGCATGGCGAGTTTTTCAGGAATGATATGTGGTAAGATGTCGTGGAAATCGGATGTGAGCAATGTCACAGGGACTGCATATGTAATTAATGTACGGTGAGAAAACCTGCCGAGTCTTTCAACTAGAAACCTTTCAAAAAACCCAATATAACTCTGACTCAGCCAAGAAAACATAAGATTCAGCCTCTAAACCGAGTTGCCGCTGAATCTCTATTCACTGTGACATTCCTTCAAGCACCTCCCAGCGTCAGTGTGGTAAAGATCCATAATCAGATCACTAATAAGGTGAATGCAAGATCTCACTGAACTACTTGTGAATAAAATGCTTGTTAACTAGACACTCTCAAATATATTGTGGAATGAGCTAAAATCGAAAAAATGAATTCCCTTTAAAAATGAACATGCAATGGGTTGTATTGACTTTCCAAATTTTGATAATTATACAGACCAGAGAGTACTGGATTTGATTACAGGTTTGTTCTGAGCTACCAGGTTGACATTGCCAGGGACAGTGTAATTCACTTAAATACACCAGGTCAGAAAAATTGGGAGAAATCAGACAGGGTACCCAAAGCTGAAAATTATCCAGTCTCACTGTTGAAATTTCTATGTATTTTCTATTGTTGAGGAGCCAAAGTGAGAGCCTAGCTCCATACTAAACATGATCAAAGTTGCAAATATATTTGTTAGATGGGGAGACGATAGAGTTGAACAATTATAATCCACTATAAAATAACCTGCTCATTCTTACTGCCTCAGCTAAAACACACAAAATAACTAAATTAGAACAAAGAACTGCAGATGCCGCAGATCTGAAACAAAAACAGAAATTGCTGGTGAAACTCACCAGGTCTGGCAGCATCTGTAGAAAGAAAGCAGAGTTAACATTTTGTGCCTCATGACTGATGAAGAGTCACTGGAATTGGAACATTAACACAAAATAGATGAATTAATAGAGGATTCCCGTCAATACTCCCTTTTCTCCATTTCAAGACAGGAAGGGAGCAAATGGGAAATAAAATGTACAATTAAATTTTTGATCTGCAATCTTAAAACATATTGATTCATTCATATCATGAATGAGTTTTCATTTATGTCATAACATGAACATTTTTAGAGAAAACAGATGAGGTGACTGAATGGCCTGCTTAAAAGTAAAAACCAATTTTGTGGCTTTGAAATGTGAACCTCTGCTGGGCAATTAGAATATCTTTTACAGAGACAAAGAGGCTCTCAGCGAAAATGGCACTGGAGACCTGAACCTGGAAGTCATTAACCTCACCATTTTTGCCAGTGGGGGTACGGGTTAGTTTGTACTTTGCATATCTATGGTTCATGGAGACAATTGCACAAATTAAATTGGAACTGCTTCAGTCAGACCTGATTTGCACTGGTGAATAGCTATAACAGAACCTGCACTCTTTAGACCTGGTGGAAGGTTTGAAGAGGTAAAGTAACCATTTGGATAAGATCCCAGGAGATCATTGGGAGAGGTCAGGTGATCTTTGGGAAAGGTCAGGTACCCTTTAGAATTGTTAAAAATAGACATCAGTGTATGGAAGAAGTGTACAAACCCATTAGAAATGTTAGGTTCATTGGAGGTTTCAAAAATACTGTCAAATGGAGTATCCCTGGTGCTGAGGCATTTAAATCTTTTGCTTTTTAAGCATTTAAGAAATGCAAAATTTTAGAAAATTAAAACTTACTTTTTCACCCTGTTTAGTGACATAGACATCATGGTTATCATTATAGAATTAGTGCTGCATGGCTGATTTACAATGTTTAATTATCACAATAGATTGCCTATCAGTTGATCAATTGATCGACAGCTTCAAATGCTTATAAAGTCTGTAAAGCTGGAACGTAAATACAAATGTTTGTTTTTATATGGGAGTAAAATAGGTTAGATGTAGTGACAGCTTTTCTAATCCATATGAGTGATTTTTTTAACAAAGAAGTCATCAATAAACATAATCACTGAGGTCTGGTAGTGGTGAATACTATGTGAGTTAATATGGAGGGTGTAAGGAAAAGGGTTGATGGGTGGGGGTAGCATGAGTTGTCACTAAATTAGCACAGGGACTTTCAACAACCATGAAGGTGAACAGAGGGGCATTAAATTGGCATGGGGGGTATGACAGGCCATAGATTTGAGTAGAGCGGCATGAGATGGCATGTGTGAATTTTCTTTGTTCATTCATGGCATTTGGGCATCACTGCCCAGGCCAGCATTTATTGCCCACCGATAATTGCCCTAGAGGGCAGTTAAGAGTCAATCACATTGCTGTGGGTCCAGAGTCACATATAGGCCAGACCAGGTAAAGATGGCAGATTTCCTTCCCTAAAGGACATTAGTGAACCAGATGGGTTTTTCTAACAATTGACAGTGGATTCACGGATATCATTGGACTCTTTAGATGGGATTCAATTTCCACCATCTGCCCTGGCAGGATTCGAATGTGTGTCCCCGGAACATTACCTGAATCTCTGCATAGCCCAGTGATAATACTACGAGGCTATCATCTTCCCTAATGAAGAATGTATGCATGTGAGGTGGGCAGGAATGACCTTTTATGTTTTATTCTTTCTTTCATGGCTTCAACATAGTGCCACAGTGTCGGGGCCAGGTTTTCACCCAGCCCTTCTCTGGCCCTGGCAGGCTCTCAACTCCAATTTTCACCCCCACCACTGGCTCAAAAATGGGAATTTCTGGTGCATTTTCTCCTTGGTCAGGTTTGCCCATAGTAGTTTATCATCAGCATGATCACTCCTTTATGCATGGTTTTGGTAAATAATCTCCAAGCTTCAGTAATTAATAAGAAACCTACCTCATCATTTTTAATTTCCTTGTCATTAAATACAAATTTACATTTTCCATTTGGAGAGAAACGTTCAGCCTCCAACCAGAAACGCACTTGTCCCTTCTCCAGCAGCTCAACTGCTAGCTCTGACTTCAGAGGCACAACTGTCAACACAAGTAATATGATCATGTGTCACTCTGTCAAACCTGATGTTACTTTAAATAGGGTTAAAACACTAAATCAAAGTATAGCAACAAGCATAACTCCAGGGTTAACAAGGTTTAGAATGCTTACCCGGGAATTTATGTTCATGGCTAAGTTCAAGCAGACGCAGCAGCTCTGTACAGAGAAAGGAAAAAACAGATTTAAACAGCTTTGTCTATTTTTGACAAAACTTTTTTAAAAAGTTATATTTAAACCATTAAATCGATTCAAGGACATAATAACAACAACTTGAATTTGTAAACAATAAGAAGACCAGGGTGGGGTGGCACCTCTGTTGGCTGGATTGCTGGCTGGTTTGCAATGCAGAGTGCTGCTGACAGCACAGGTTTTGAATGAGGTTGATGTGAAGGTCCTGCCTTCTCAACCTTGCTTGTCAGGTAAAACCACCAGCAATCATCTCTCTCTAATGAGAGAGCAGCGCTATGGTCCTCTGGGACTATGGCGACTTCACCTTTAAGCAATATTGACTGTCTTTGTTCTGCCTGCTACTAAAACTTTGATGTGTATAATCTTTCAGATTCATGTAGGCCCCGTATTTTTCGGACCTAACCCCCTCCATCCGTAAACTTTAGCCATAAAAAGAGATATCTGCTGTTTATATTTTGTTTCTCATGAAATCTTGTACATTATTGTGGTCACTGACCTACACTGGTGCCTGTGTATCCTTGTTATTGCATATTTAAAATTGTCATTTTTAGTTCTGCTTTAAATTGCACTTTCTCAACATGATAAAATATCAATGTATCCTAACTACATTGTTATCATCATTTATAAAATGATACATTGTACATTTCGCTTTGCAATTCAAATCTGGAAGGCAACCATGCTAATCCTTCAAATTATTTAAACATCAAATGATCAGATTTCAATGTTATAAGTAGCTGCTGCTATATTTAATTTACCAGACCTTCACCAGTAGTGCGCAGTCTACAGCTGTAGATTTGTTGAAAGACTACAGCAGCTAATCCTGCTCAAAAGTTTTTGACATCGACAACATTACCCTTTCAAGTATAAAACCTGTTATTATGTAATATTACTTTAGCAAAAGGAGGCATTGGAGAGATTTACTGGTAGCATTGGTGCTAATTCCTTCCTTTCCCAACCCCAACACTGCAGATAGTTAGCTGTCTAAAATGGGTGGAATGCAGGAACTTGCTGGCAAGCAGCAGTGGTATGTTGAGTGACAGGAGGCTGTTGGCAGGGAGCAAAGGTATTCTTCCAGCCTGTAGGTAAATCTCAAAGACCAGATTTCAGGATGGCCTCACAGTTGGTATTGGGGGATGCAGGGGAGGTCTGAATGTTCTTTCCGAACCCAGAAGGATTGCTCCTGGTCCTCCCGACGTCATGATTAACATGCTAAGAAAATGTTAAAAAAAGGCATTCACCTTCTCACCCTGACTCCCATTCACATTTGGTGCTCAAGAGAAACAAAACAGTAAAACTTGTGAATGACACAGATCTTAGTCTCCTCATATACTTCAAAACGGACGCCCAGTTCTGACCAATATGTTCATTATCAAATGTTACAGTCTTTTTACTGGCTTACCCCTCTGGCAGGAAAGATATGCAGTGCTTTTGTCACTCAGACCATGCTTGGAATTGCTGTCAGCCTTGATTATATCATTGAGCACAATCCAGATATTTAAGAAAGGATTCTGCCTTTTCTGAACATGTGTCCTTCCTTCTTGTTTAAAACTGACTGCAGAAATTCAACTTCTGCATACAACTCTTATTGACATTCCTTCATAAGTTTTGAATGATCTTTGCAGTAATGGATCAAAAATTCAGAGAAGTGGTTAGCTCTGAATATATTTTAATCAATTTTTAAAAATCTGTTTATAGCATCTCTGTATAGAATAGTAAATACGATTTAATATACCTGCTTCATCTATGGCATAGCTGGAAGAAACTCCATCAGTTTCAGTGACAACACAGGAATAGATACCCAAGTCATCCTTCCCTGGGTCATTGAAAATTATTTTTGTCCTGTTTGAGAGAGGAGTAATTCATGATGTTTGAGTACATTGTAAAAATGTTGTTGAGCAACATATTCTGTGTAAATTTTTGTATTAGTTCTGCTTTTTTTAAAAATTTGTTTCCCTTCTCCCCATTTAACATATGAGTTTTCACAAAATGTTGTTATTCAGAATGGTTAAATCGCTTTATATGATGCAATACTATGTGACAGTGCTTATTGAAGTATTTAGCATTTGATATCAAGCTAACAATAGTACATGTGCTGGTAAGGGCATTAAAAATTCATTAGACAAAACATTTCAATTGGATGTTCACTATGCCAACTGATGAATTAACAAATGTTTCATTACCCAGTTTACTTACAAATATGCTGATAATTCACAAATACATTGGGCTGGGACTTAAAGTGGGTGAAGAAGCGCTTGCCCACCAATAAAAGCCCATGTGTCATTTTCTCTGGACACACATTACAATTACATTCCAATCAGACACATAGCTGGGCAGGCCTCTTGTCCAAAACTGCTCCACAAGGGCCAACATCTCCATCTGAAGAGCTGGTGGACAATCAGAAGTCTGCAGCACTTTGATACCAGCAGCCCCACAAGGCCACAGCTCGTATAACACTGATCTGCACCAGGATAAGGAGTAGATGTGTGTGTAATGGGTATTGCAGGGGTTGGAGGGCAATTCAAGTACAATGATAAAGGGAGAGAGGAGGGGTTGGAATGCCAGGATCCTTGACTGAGCGCAAAATGCCCATGAATGAGTAAGCCCTGAGGTAAATCTGGCAGGTGGCAATTTTCAAGCCTACAACCCATTAAATACAGCAATGGGTGGAAGAAGGCTCCTAAGAGATACTTGAGTGGCAACAGTATTGGCTCCTGTGAAAAAGGACTGTGGCACCCTCTCTCCTCAGACCAGATTGGAGAGAGTTAGAAGAACAGTAGGATCACACACACCACCCACTGTTCCACTCAATCACGCAGACTCCCTGCCTCTAAAATCACCTTATGGGGGGATGAGTGAGCACTAAATTCTGTCCATTAGCAAATACATGAGCATTAAATATACTGATGCAGAGTTCAGCCTGTTCAGGAATCTCAGATTTCACATAAAATTGAAGTTATGCCAGCAAACTTGGTTGATAATTTTCTTCTCTATGTCAACATAAATTGCTTCTTATTTAACACTACAAATAAACCTGGGAACAAAAAAGAGATCAGGATCTTCCTGGAAGAAGCAGACAAAAGAGGCGGTATGGGCCCCAATTGCAATTTAACAATAAAAAAAGTGTACTTACTTTCCACCTTTGGTCTCCACTGTGACTCTTGATGAGTCAACAAGGTCTTCATAATTTTTAGACCAAATGAACTTTGAACCTTCAGCCATGTCAGCACATTCAAAGGTTAGAGAAATAACTCCATCATCATCCACATTGACAGCAATCTCTTTAGTGCCTGACAAAAGACAGAAAGGATTGCTTGCAAAATTTTAATCAATCTGACAATGCCACAGCTTGCAAACTGGAACGCTTTGCTCAATAGTTGCCAGGTCAACAGTGTTTTTGGGAAGAGTCTCACATTATTTCACTTCAAGCAATCACACACCTTGGCAGGAGAATCAATTTCCCCTTGGTGTAGAGATGAATAGACAGGGCTTTACTGAGCATACTATGTAGAGATTCTGTGTTCTGTGACAAATGTACTTTAGTGATACACAAAGTGATCAGGTGTACTTTGAAAATTCAAGTCTCTACAGTTTCTTCCCAACTCTTGCCTGGGTTCCAGTGTTATTGTTACGTCTTAGTCATTGAGTTGTACAGCACAGAAACAGACTCTTCAGTCCAACTCATCCATGCCGACCAGATAACCTAAACTGATGTAGTCCCATTTGCCAGCATTTGGCCCATATCCCTCTAAAACCTTTCTATTCACATACCCAACCAGATGCCTTTTAAGTGTTGTAATTGTATTCACGTCCACCATTTCCTCTGGCAGCTCATTCCATACACACACTACCCTCTGAGTGAAAAAGTTGCCCCTCAAGTCCCTTTTAAATCTTTCCCTTCTCAACTTAAACCGATGACCTCTAGTTTTGGACTCCCCTACCCTGGGAAAAAGACCTTGACTATTCACTCTATGCCCCTCATGATTTTATAAACCTCTACAAGGTCACCCCTCAGCCTGCAACACTCCAGCGAAAAAAAACCCAGCCTATTCAGCCTCTCCCTACAGCTCAAACCCTCCAACCCTTGCAACATCCTTGTAACTCTTTCCTGAACCCTTCTGAACAACATCCTTCCTGTAGCAGGGAGACCAGAATTGGACACAGTGTTCTAAAAGTGACCTCACCAATGTCCTGTACAGCCACAACATGGCATCCCAATTCTTATACTCAATGCACTAACCAATGAATTCTTCCTACTCATTCAGACTTTGCTTCCATTCCTGACCTAGTTCAGCTGTAAAAACCAAAAGAACTGCAGATGCTGTAAATCAGGAACAAAAACAAAGTTGCTGGAAAAGCTCAGCAGGTCTGGCAGCACCTGTGGAGGAGAAAACAGAGTTAATGTTTTGGGTCCTGTTCTGAGGAAGGGCCACTGGACCCGAAATGTTAACTCTTTTCTCCTCCGCAGATGCTGCCAGACCTGCTGAGCTTTTCCAGCAACTTTGTTTTAGTTCACTTGTAATTTTCTGCTGATCTCCAGATTGCTATTGCTTTGAGTTCAGGGATGTTTATGTGATCTAACATTGGAGAAAGGTTTTACATATAGCACAAATTGTGCCAGTGAAGCTAAGATAAATATTGTAATATTATACACAGATGTTAAAGAGATCATATAATGTTGATCAGGCAGATTTATGCAATGGAACATTTATTATCTACTTTACAATTATCAATATTATCTATCTAATCTATCAGGATGTTCATGAGAAGAAGTCTTACATAAAATAATGCCTCATTCTAGATTATTTGTTTTAATGTTATTTGTGGGATATTTTACTTCTAGAATATATATTATAGTTGTCCTTTTTCATTGAGACTTTATGCTACCATAAATATAAGACCAAAATATTGGAGTTCAAAAGTTCAAAATTTCCATCATCTAGAAGAGACTTCTATTCAATTTGGCAAATAATAGAGGTTTAACATAATGATGAAACAGAACTTCATTGCTCTTCTGGTGATTTTGTCAAGAGACTAACAAAAGAAAAGATTGTCTAACTCTCGTCTGAACACATCATGGCCCTGTAAACCACAGTTACATTTTTTACTGTGGAAAGGGGCTTAGGGAGATGGTTCACAAAATCTGAATTTTAGGAATTGTCCATTGTAGACAGTCTTGCAGGTTATGTGTGCTGGAAGAGTGGGAAAATAATTATAATCTGCAAATGAAACTATAAAATATTGAAAAGCCTGCCCATTAACTGAAGTTATGAGATCCACCTGTGTTCTATACACTAGATCTTGTGTGAGAGGATGATTGACTTACCTGTATGCTTATTATGGCAATGAAATGACTAGTTAAGGCCATTGATAAAAGGCTGACAGGTCCAAACAGCTTTCAACATTGGCATCAGCAGCACAGTAGATGCCTGGAGCTCCCAGCCATGGACCAAGTGCTCTAGCATCTACTGAAAAGTTTCATTATGTATTTTGTCCAGTTAAGGCTGCTATACACACATACAAGAGCAGAGGGAAGTAAAATAAAGGTGTCCGTGTTTTAACAGCTTGTACAGTTCTGTTTCTGAATGCTTCTTAGTGCATCTTGCTGTTTCTTTCAAGAATATCACATGCTCCAAAATGCTTGTACCACTCCCCACTAAACTCCTCCTGCTGATTAAGCCTTGCAATGGCTGCAGTCTGGCCTGTGGAGGCCATAATTATGGCCTGGCAGCTTTGGCTACTTTTTAATTTAAAATACTTTAGAAGTGCTGAGAGGGCTCTTCAAGATGTGTTCCCTCTCTCTCAACCTCTTACCTAAATGGGAGACTATAGCTCCTTCAGTTCCTTCAAATGATCCAGCTTCAAAGGCCTACTAGCAATCATTAATTGGAAGACGAGCCTACTCTTTGCCTGTAATTGGGTTGTCCAGCAAAAATCAATGTCAAGCTGAGCTCTCAACAAGGTGCAGGTCAAGCATTTGTTGCCAATAGTGGTGTCTCACCCCAACAGGAAAAATCTTGCCTTTGGTCTGTGCTGACTGAGATGATTTGAGTTAAAGTCTGTGAAGGACGCCACAACTTTGGAACAAACAGGCAAATATCAGCCAGGGTTTCTCCTTGTTAAGGCATTATATTCACACTTGGTTCAATTCCAGAAGTCCCAGAGGCTCCCACTGATACCTTACCTAAGTATATGCTGTTCATGTGGGAGACTAGGTAATCTCAGTAAGCTATTTAACGTCACAGAGCATCTGAACCTAGCTTGGCTACTGCACAAAATAATTTCAGTTGGATCACTATCCAGTGGAGGACACTAGTCAAATTTCTTCTCTCAGGGACATTCAGGTTAATTGCTGTCACAGCTGGGAATCAGTTAACTCAACACAGACAGGGTGTTATAATCTTTGGATTTGCATTTTCTTAGCTTTGGTAGCATCTGTAGGTCTGTATCATATATTGAGGAATGTTTACATAGCGCTAAGTATCTAATCATACATTAATGGAACCCATTGGCTAGTACGCTCCTGTAATCTGAACTGAGTATTGTTGCTTGAATTTTGCAACCACAGTTAACCTTCTCAATGTTGTGAAAATGGGGGAGAAAGCCAAAAATTGAAGTCCCAACCCCAAACATTTTTGCAGGGTAAATAATGGAGGCAGGGTGCATTTTGCCCAAGCATTTTGGGGAAGCAGCTGGACATTTAAATCAGCAACTGCTTCCAGTTATATCTGATCTTGGTAACCCAAGTGTGAAACATGGTATGTACAGATTAGACCTATTGTGGATTCATTTGGATAGCCAGGGTTCCATTTTGAAGAAGTAAAGTAACTCTTTGGATATGGTCCTGGGACACCTTTGGAAGGGGTAATTTGTCTTTGGAATTGTTAAAAGCAGACATAAATTAGGGGAGATGGTGGCATAGTGTTGCTGTGGACTGACAATCCAAAACCATAGACTAATGTTCTGGGCTCATGGATTCAAATCCTGTCACAGCAGATAGTGAAATTTGAATTGAGTAAAAATTTGGGATAAAAAGCTAACATGATGGCAACAATGGAATAGATCTTGATTGACTTAAAAACCCATTTGATTCACTAATGTATTTTGGCAACCATCCTTTTCTGGTCTGGCCTACATGTGTCATCAGAACCATAGTATTACGGTTGACTCTTAACTGTCCTTTGGGCAATTAGTGATGGAGATTAAATGCTGACATGGCCAGCAATGCACACAGAACATGAACAATATTGTTAAAATTCCATAAGCATATTAACTATAAGTCTCATTGGACCAGTCAACAGACTTGTCAACGGGAAACATTATAAATGTGTCAAAAGTCATCTACAATGATTTGAACCAAAGATGTGTGTTAGCTAAATTTGCCAATGATACCAAAATAGCTAGGAAGCTAAGGTATGCAGAGAGGAGAGAGAATCTGGAAAAGGACAGAGATAGGTTGAGATGGTGGGTAAAAAAATTGGCTTAGTATAATGTGAACTTGGCCACTTTGTCAGGAAGAGTGAAGTAGTATATAATTTAAAAGTGTAAAAATGTATAAAAATAGCAGAACTTGGCCACACAATGGGGTCTGGGTGGCGTGGTACATGAATCACAAAATGTTAGTCTGCAGTAATAGCAAGTGATTAGGAAGATAATTAGAATGTTGGTGGTTATTGCAAGTAGAAAAAGAAATTAATGCAGTGAAGTTTTACTGCAGTTGTACAGGGCTTTAGTGAGATCACATCTGGACCACTGTGTACAATTTTTGTCTCTTTATTGGAAGAAAGATATAATTGTGTTAGAAGCAGTTCATGCAAGGTTCACTCAACTTATTCCTGGATGAATGGCTTACCTTGTTAAGAAGGGATGGACAGTTTGAGCTATTGAAGTTTAGAATAATGAGACGTTGTCTTGTTGAAATGTATTAGATCCTGAGTGGAGTTAATAGGGTAGCTATTGAGAATATGTGAGAAAGGGCAGCAGATCAAGGGCTCAAAAATAGCACAAAAGAGAAGCGGTCTCATAGACTAAAAGAATGGAGTCTGCACGAGCAACTATCTTCTATCATTCGCTCTTACTTCAGTACAGGGCAAGCAGATGATTGGTGAATACTAGTAAGTTTTTCAACTATTTTAATTGAAATAAATAGTTTTTAAATATATGGGATTTAATCCCATAGGATTATGGGCAGCTCAGCCAAGGACTCCTGTGGTATGTTTAAAATCATAGACACACCCACATGAAGATATCTGCAGAAGTGTCTTTGGCTGCACAAGCTTGAGTTCTGGCTTTCAAAACTTGAGTGACAGCTAGAATTGCTGTTATATATTGAACAGACAGAGAAATATGTGGACAGCACATATGACAGGTGGTCATCCTGCAGATTCGAAGGGGAAACTATGCCAGATCAACATTCCTGGATATAGGGTTAAAGAAGGGGATAAAAAGGTGGAGGTATAGCATTATTGGTTGAAATATCAATCACAGATACAAGGACGGATGACATCCTCATGAAATATCAATGAGGCAATATGGGTAAGAAAGATGAAGGCAGCCATACTGCTAGGTGTGTACTATAGGCTCACGAATAGAGGGAGAGAGTTAGAGGAGCAAATATATAGACAAACTTCTGAATGCAAAATCAAAGGGGTGATAATTGTTGGGGACTTCAAATACTCAAATGTTCAATTGGGATACAAGCAGTGTGAAAGGCACAGAAGGCACAAAATTCTTGAACAGCATTTAAGGCAACTTGTTTTAGCTGAATCAGAGATAGTAGGAACTGCAGATGCTGGAGAATCCGAGACAACAAG